CCAGTGTTTATGTATCAAGCTCTATCCAAAGCTTCAGAATCTTTAATTATTATTGGAGCCGCTGAATTTTTGCCTATTTATTTAGAAACTCAGTTTATATTAACACCCACGATGGCAGCTTCACTTACAGGTAGTCTTTCCTTCCTATTATCATTAACCAGCTTTGTTTATCTCACTCTTTCCAGCAACGAATTCTAGGGCCAGCCAGAGAGGGCAGTGGCCGAGTTTATGCCTGACCCCCACTCCCCCGCCCCCCAGGGGGGAGGCATGCACTGAGACCGTGATTGAGCACCTACCTGTAATCCCAGAATTTGGGAGACTGAAACCAGGAGAATTACTACGAACCTGATCTATATAATGAGACCCTGTAGACCCTCTAGACCCTGTACTAAATACATAAAAAATAAAATAAATTCTACATAAAAACTCCCCTAACCCAGACTGGGGGCTCAGATTTTTGGGTGCTGAACTCCTCTGGGCCTGCTGCCATAACAGAGAGTTCCCTCCACCTCTCTGCGTGCCGATCAGCTTCCTGCACCACCGGCAAACCTGGCTTCACTGTACCACTTGGTACAATCCAAAATCACTGCAACAGCTAAACTCTGTAATATTGCTAGGGGAGGTACAGTTGTTCCAATGAGTAGACACTTACTGTGGGTCAGTATCTGGTTTGTGTTACTGTTTACACTGTAATCATAGATTTCTTTTCTGTGGTCAAGAGTGATACATTACTGATTCTTTGGGTTTGTCAATATCTAGTTTGTATTTTCCACTGCTATTGTTTTTGATTTTACTATGACAGCCAAAGTGACATAGTTGCTGCCCTCAATTGGCATTTTTCTATATACCACTATCAGGATTGCTTAGGGGTCGTGAACAATACTGCAGTCTATTCCCAAAGAACTTGATACTAGGCCAAATAAGCTGAAACCACCCTCCCAAATAAACAGAGCTGGTTGGCTCCTGGAATAGAGGCAAGACCAATAGTTAGCCATGTCCAGAGGATACCTCTAAAAATAGATTTAACTAAGGAGGTCGCTATACTAGCCACACACACACACACACACACACACACACACTCCAAGGCTGAGGATATAGCTCAGTGGCACAGTGCCTGCCTGGCAAGTGCAAGGTCCCGAGTTTGATTCCTGGCACACACACAAAAGTTCACTATATACTAACAACAAAACTACCCAGTATGATCAACCTACAATCCTCAGCAGTGGAAACAAACCAAAAATAGAAACATGTGAATCAAGGCAATAAGATGCCTCCAAAAATTCCCAGCTCTGCCAAAGCACAGCCAGGGAGAGGAAATCAAAATGCACCCAGCTAGCCAAAATATCTGGGAGAATAACAGTGGAGATGTTCAGCAAATCAAAGAAACTATAATGAAATGTAACAATCCTAATGAAACAAACGATCAGCAAGTCTACAGAGGATACTAATGAAAAACAGCAGAAAGAAATGCAAAACATGAAAGGACAGCATAGAAAAGAATTGATGTCCATAAAAAAAAGTCTAAAGAGAAGCCCAAGAGATTAAAAGTATTAAATGTATGGGCAGCAAAAACAAGAGAACATAAAAAAAATGAATCCAACAGCTGCTAGGTGATACAAAGAGAACTAATTTAAGGTTAATTGGAATTGGTGAGAACTCAAAAGATAGCACAAAGGGCATAAAAAAAAAAAAAAC